CCTGCGCGCCTGCCGGCGGCTGCGGACTCACGCACTGCGCTCGCCTTCCTGACGCAATGCGTGCAGCCTCCACTGACGCACCGCGCATTGTCTGTGACGCAATACGCACGCCCCCTGGCCCCGCCCAGATGCCCGGCGCGCCGACTTACCCACAATTCCCACTGCGCGCGCCGCTCTCCGGTCGCCGCCTCCGGTGCCGCGCCGCTGAAGTTCCCGCCGGGCCGGGCTCCCGCCGCCGGGGACATGCTGCCGAAGCCGCGGAGCCGGGGCCGCCCCAGCTCCCAGGCCGACAGGGACGGGGGCCGCGGCGGGGACAGCCGGGCCGCGAGAAGCGCCGTCGCCGAGGAGGCCCCGAGCACCTCCCGCGGGGCGGGCGGCTCGCAGGACCCCCGCCGCTCCTCGTCGCAGGGCGGCCGCCCGGCCGACGCGCCCCTGGCCGTGGGGCCCCGGTCCCAGAAGCAGCTGGAGCTGAAGGTGGCCGAGCTGGTGCAGTTCCTGCTGATTAAGGACCAGAGGAAGATCCCCATCAAGCGGGCCGACATCGTGAAGCACGTCCTGGGCGACTACCGGGACCTGTTCCCCGACCTCCTGCACCGCGCCGCCGAGCGCCTGCAGTACGTGTTCGGGTACCGGCTGGTGGAGCTGGAGCCCAAGAGCAACACCTACATCCTCATCAACAGCCTGGAGCCCGTGGAGGAGGACGCCGAGCTGCGGGGCGACCAGGGCACGCCCACCACCGGCCTGCTCATGATCGTCCTGGGGCTCATCTTCATGAAGGGCAACGCCGTCAAGGAGACGGAGGTCTGGGACTTCCTGCGCCGCCTGGGGGTGTACCCCACCAAGAAGCACCTGATCTTCGGCGACCCCAAGAAGCTCCTCACCGAGGACTTCGTGCGGCAGCGGTACCTGGAGTACCGGCGGATCCCGCACACGGACCCCGTGGACTATGAGTTGCAGTGGGGCCCGCGAACCCACCTGGAAACCAGCAAGATGAAAGTGCTGAAGTTTGTGGCCAAAGTCCATAACCAGGACCCCAAGGACTGGCCGGCCCAGTACTGCGAGGCCCTGGCGGAGGAGGAGGACCGGGCCCGGCCTCAGGCCAGCGCCCCATCCCAGGCCAGCGCCCGATCTCAGACCAGCGCCCCTTCTCAGACCAGCGCCCGATCTCAGACCAGCACCCGACCTCCGAGCAGCGCCCCATCTCAGACCAGTGCCCGACCTCCGAGCAGCGCCCCATCTCAGACCAGTGCCCGACCTCAGACCAGCGCCCCAGCCCCCTCCTCTTGAAGCCATAGGTTCCGGGGGACCCCTGGGGGCCAGGGTCGAAGGCGCAGGCCTGAGGGGGTGTCAGTGGGGCAGGGGGCATATTTCTGTAAAGCTGAACTGTGTGTAGCTTTAGGATGTGTTTGCAAACTTTTGTTCTTTTACTATTATAAAGTATTTGGTTCCAAGTTTTCATTTATAAAAATATGAGTAGAGGATTTATTTTGTTTTAGTATCTGTATTTTGTGTGTGTGTGTGTGTGTGTGTATAAAAACTTGGCTAGCTTTATAAAACTAATTGGAAAACTTTGTACTGTGATTTGGAACAAAAAACACATCAGTAATTTGCTTTGGTGCCAAGTCAGTGTAAGTGGCTGTTATATGGCCTCCTAACTGCCCTAGTTTGTAAGGAAAAATAAAAGCCTTTATAAATTAAAAATAAAAATATAATTGCGTATGTCCTCTTGCTTCAGCACAGCTATTTTATGTTTTCTATGTATAAGAAAATTGTATTTCCTCGACATAACTTTTTTACATTCATGATTATTATTTAGCTCTGTGGCTAACCATTTAGCTTTTTTCCTACCCTCATTATAATAAATACTGTATCTTTGAAGCAGTTAAGCATTGTGCATTTTTTAAGTCATGAGTCCTGAGAAATTTCGTGACTCAGAACCAACATTTTTTAAACAGACACTTTTTGCTGCATGTTACAGTACGTCGTGTTTTGTAGAAGTTGCTTTACTTCCAGGTGTGCGTGCAGATTGCATCACGATGTGAAATACATTTCTCTTACTGTGACAGGTCACAGAAGTGTTAATAAGCCCGTTAGTGATTAACTGCACCGACTTGGGAAGCAGACACCCTGGCTTCAGATTCAGGCTCCACCTGACCACATGCCTGAGGGCAGGTCCCTAGTTGCTTACAGACCTCTCCTCACCTGTCAGCTGGGCTGCTGACGCCGAGAGTGTGGTAATGTGACCGTTAGGTGTGGAAGCGTATGTACAGTTCTTGGCACCATGCCTGGGGTTTTAGTTAGTACTTTGTTCCTTACATTTTAAAAAAATATGTTTTTATTTCCTGTGGTCTGGAGCAGCTAAAACATTATTTCTAAGGTTTCCTTTCATTATCTTGCTCGAAATCATTCCTAGAATTTGAGTCACTGGTTCAAAAGTTATGGCAATATTCTAGTCTGACTATGGTTTTATGAAAAAGTATAATTCATGGTATACGGTGAGTATAGCCCATATAAAATAGTACAAGCAGGGAAATGAGATGTTAAGATTTCCCCTGGTTGTGAGGTCATTGTAGGGTAGTGAAAAGGGGATAGGTTTTGAGGCTGCCAAACTGACTTTGATTTATGGCTCATGTTATGTCAGCATGGCGATTTGGGGTAGGTTTTAAACTCTCTGAGTCTCTATCTGCAACAAGGGGAAAATAGCAACTATAATTACAGGGTTTTTTTCCCCCTAATCCTCACCTGAGGATATTTTTCCATTGATTTTTAGAGAGAGTGAAAGGGTGAGAAACAGAGAAACATCGATGTGAGAGAGACATGGATTGGTTCACACACATCCCGACCAGGGCCAGGGACCGAGCCTGCAACCGAAGTACATGCCCTTCACTGGCATCGAACCCGGGACCCTTCAGTCCACAGACTGACGCTCTATCCACTGAGCCACACTGGCCAGGGCCATAGTTTCTTTTATGGATTAAATGAACCTGAAGAAAAGCTTGTGGTCTTCACTCTCCCGCCACAGCTTCCGCAAAATGCTGCTTACAGAGGCTCAGCCAGTAGCTTTCAGGGGGTGAATAAGAATTGTTTTGGGGGAAGAAACTGCAAATTAATCATGAAATGAGGTAAATAGTTTAAAAAAGTGAACTGGATCAACACTCACCTGGAAATAGCTACACGAGTCTGGTGGGCCTGTGGTGGGCATGGAGGAATGGGATGGCTCCTGGGTTTTCCTTCCGTTGAATGGAATTTGCATTTATTTCATCAGTGGAATATACTGGGCCCTCAGACATTCCTCCTGGTTTGCTGACTGGCCCTGTGCCTTCCCCTCCGGTGTGTTCTCATCCTGACGGTGAAAATGATCCTAACCCAGGGCCGTTACCAGTTCTGTCTGAGGCACATGCCCCCCCCCCCCCCACACACACACACTTTTCTCATAGAGATGTTAACAATTTACCAGCAGCGGATTACTAGGTGATTTCGATTTTAGAGCAGAAGGCAGTGCAGACCAGATCTTTTCTCCTCGCCCTTCCCAGAGGTGTCGGCGTCTGCGGGTCTCATGCTGTTGCAGGTTCAGTACGTTAATGTGCACGTACACGAGCGTTATGCGCAAGTGTTCTGTGAGCTTTTCCACCTTAAAGCTTGGTCGTAGACTGTGGCCTTGCGCTGCTCGTTGTTTTACACGACATTGGTTTTGAGATTTTGCCAATTAGATCTGATTCGTCCATTTTATTTGTTCCTCCATGGGGGGAAATAAGTTTATCCATTCCCTAATGGTTAGGCTATTTCCAGCTTTTAGCTATTTGCAGGCAGTACACACAGTGCTTCCTTAGGCACGTGTGTGAGAGCTTGTGTATGGCTACATTACCGACATGTTAGAGCTCCTTTTCCCCGATCTCTCCCCTGTGTCCGTCCCAGCCAGATGTGCATGTCACTGTACCTGGGGGAAGTCCCGATATGGAATTATCACTCTATTCACAGTGTATGGTCCCCTCCCATGTACGTAGCACACGGCCTACTATTTTCCTAGATCTAAAAGCGAATTCTCTTTTTTAATTGAAAAATGAGAACAAAGTGGTTTTGATGCACTCACCATATATATATATGCTACATAGATATATATATATAATCACTTAAAATCGACTTGCCAAATTGATTTTTAAAAAGTCAGAAGAGAAAAATCAATGCAACAAATTATAAAATGTAATAAATATAATCATTACTAAAGAGATTCATTCTGAAACAGCACTCATTGTGATCCCTAGGAATATTCCGGTGAGGATTTAAAAAATAACAATAAATAAAAGAAAGGTCTACTAAGAAATAAACTTCTTTCATTTGATTTTCTTTAGTGATCAGTTGTTATTTTTAAGGCTCTAGAAAACTATTTTGAGACTATTGTATAGTATTTTCAAGTTTAGCCTCAAATACTTTATTTTTTAAAATATATTTTATTGATTTTTTTACAGAGAGGAAGGGAGAGGGATAGAGAGTTAGAAACATCGATGAGAGAGAGACATTGATCAGCCTCCTGCACACCCCCTACTGAGGATGTGCCCGCAACCAAGGTACATGCCCCAGACCGGAATCGAACCTGGGACCCTTCAGTCCGCAGGCCGACGCTCTATCCACTGAGCCACACCGGTCAGGGCTCTTAAATACTGGAGCATATATTTCCAATAAAGTCACGGTCCGGACAGTGGCTTTTCAGAGCGTACCTTTTCTACTTGATGTAAGGGAAGCTGCGTTTGCAATTCTGAGAAACAAGACGTTTCCTTTGAAACATGCCAGGCGTGTAATGATGGGAGCGACTGAAAGCATTTTTGCAGCCAAGTCACCTTTGCTCCGAGCCTCTGCGGTGAGTAATGGGCTTTGCGCTGGTCTCTTGCAGGTCACCTTTTTCATGCTGCTCTCCGCCGTGTGCGTGATGCTGAACCTGGCCGGCTCCATCCTCTCCTGCCAGAACGCTCAGCTCGTCAGCGCCCTGGGAGCCTGCCAGCTGGTGAGCACTGAAACGGCGCCTGCCCGCGAGGCGTGGCTGCACGGGCGTCACCTTAAAAGCAACCGTGTCCCCTCCTCGCGTTCCTTCTGATAGTTCATGGTTGTCTAAGGAATTGAATTTCAGTTGATACGTTTCTCAAAATTCTCCCGGACGAACGCGTGCACCGCTTTGTAAATCCGTTACTAATAGAATATTCCTACGGATCGCAGCGAGTGCTGTTGCGGAATGAATCTCTTTAGTAACGATCATATTTTAGCATTTGTTGCATTGATTTTTCTCTCCTGAATTTTTAAAAATCAATTTGATAAATCGATTTTAAGTGACTATATATATATATATATATATGCATATGGTGAGTGCATCAAAACCACTTTGTTCTCATTTTTCAATTAAAAAAGAGAATTAGCTTTTAGATCTAGGAAATGGTAGGCCGTGTGCTACGCACATGGGAGGGATCAGTGAGTTGTTGGTTGCATAGAGTGATGACTCCATATCGTGATTTAGTTCCAGGGACAGTGATCCATGCTTGTGGCTGGGGCAGAAATGGAAGTATGTCCAGTCACACTGAGTAAGTGTGTGGTTGAACTTCTGATATAACCTTGGCGGCTGGGTATGGGGGCATTCGCATTGGTTTCTTTTTTAAATACATTTTTATTTATGTCAGAGAGGAAGGGAGAGGGGGAGAGAGATATATATCACTGATGAGAGAGAGAATCATTGACTGGCTGCCTCCTGCACGCTCCCCACTGGGGATCGAGCCTGCAGGCTGACGCTCTACCCACTGAGCGACACCGGCCAGGGCGTCCACAGCGTTTGTATCCACTCGTCTACTGAGGGGCACCAGGCTCTTTCCAGATTTTGGTCATTGTAACTAGCGCTGCTATGAACATATGGTGCATATATTCTCTCATGTTAGTGTTTCTGATTTTTTAGGCTATAGTCCTAGAAGTGGGGTCACTGGGTCGAATGGCAGTTCCATTGTTAATTGTTTGAGGAAACTGCATCCTGTTGTCCACAGCGGCTGCCCCAGGCGGCATTCCCACCAGCAGTGCAGGCTGTTCCCTTTCCTCCATGTCCTCGCCAGCACTTGTCGTGTGTTGATTTGTTGACGGCAGCCACTCTGACAGGTGTGAGGCGATACCTCCTTGTCGTTTCAGTTTGCATCTCTCTGAGGATGGGGGACTTCAAGCATTTTTTCGTGTGTCTCTTGGCCGTCTGTATGTCTGCTTTGGAGAAGTGTCTAGTTAGGGCCTTTGCCCATTTTTTAAATTGGATTGTTTGTCTTCCTCTTGTTAAGTTGTATGAGTTCTTTATATATTCTGGAAATTAACCTCTTATCACTGGCAAATATGTTCTCCCATACAGTGGGATCCCTTTTCATTCTTTAAAAGAAAGAATTTCCTATTTTCATGATCTTGAGGTTATTTTCATCTACTGTATGTATCCTTATGTGGAAATACAACGCTGTATTTTAAAATGTATTTTAAATGTTGTCATGTCCAAAGTATTCTGTAAATGGAAGATCACACAGTACGTAACCCTTTGGAATCGGCTTTGTTCCTTCAGTGTAATTCATGGAGCTTCATCCGAGTTGTGTCCACCAGCCTGTCCCTGTCCACGGTGGGCGGTGTCCCGCGGTCGGTGTCCAGGACAGTTGTGTGCCGTCTCCCTGCGGAGGCCACCTGGGCTCACGCAGTTGTTGGTTTTCACGAGGAAGGCGGTGTGGAGGGGACCTTCTCCTTTCCGAGGGCTGTGGGGTTTCCCTGAGGCTGTGCTGCATGCAGTGCCAGCGCCCCAGTCTCAAAATGAACGCGTCCGGTAACCAAGCCAACGCCAATTATGTAGCCACAGCGCTCAGAAGAGCCCACAGTAGCCAGGGCAACCCTGATTGAGCTTCGTCCTGATGAGTCAGAAATTACGGGAGGACGCGCCTAAGGCTGCAGGTTCGGAAAAGTCGGGCTTGACAGATGCAGGGAAACGTGGCTGAAAGTCCACAGCCCCCCTTGGGGCGCGTCTGTCAGTGTCTTGTCTCCTTCCCAGCTCCCGTGATTGCCAAAAGATGTAGCTTTTTAAAAAATATGTTTTTGGCCTGGCCACATGGCTCAGTGTGAGCGTTGACCTATGAACCCAGAGGTCATGGTTTGATTCCTGGTGGGGGCATGTGCCCGGGTAGTGGGCTCGATCCTCAGTGTGTGTGTGTGGGGGGGGCAGCCGATCAGTGATTCCCTCTCATCATTGATGTTTCTGTCTCTCCCTCTCCCTTCCTCTCTGAGATCAAGAAAAAGATATATATAAAAAACAAAAAAACCCGCCTGGCTGGTGTGGCTTAGTGTGCTGGGCTTTATCTCGGGCACCAGAAGGCTGCTGGTTTGATTCCTGGCCAGGGCACATGCCCGGGTTGCAGGTTGGATCCCCAGTAGGGGGTGCACAGGGGGCAGCCAATTCATGTTCCAGTCTCTCACATTGATGTTTCTCTGTCTCCCTTCCTCTCTCTCTAAAAATCAATGAAAATATTTTAAAAAATAACACCAACAACTAACCACATTTGCACTTTGAATGTTGACCCCCTTAACCTCATCTGCTGCGCACCCCGACCCCAGGACTCCGCAGCTCAGGGCGGTTCTGTGGCTTGTCCCAGGTCACCCCGTGAGCGATGGTCGCCCCATAAGTGAGTGGGTCCGATTCTGTCCCTCATGCTTTGGTTTCTATGTGTCTCGGCCGGTTCATTGCCCCCGAGATTCGCAGGCGGCCTGCGGAGGCACCCCCTCTTTCTGTGGTATCAGCCCTTCCCACTCCTGGACAGCGGATAGGCCACACCCGAGAGGGGCAGACCAGCCGCTCAGTGCTCCAGAGTCCGGAGACATCACAGCGACCCCATCTGCAGAGCTCTGCTGCCTCCGGGACCCGACCCCCAGGGCCACTCGGCAGTAAACCCGTCAGCCCCGCAGGCCAGGATGTCGGGGTCAGAGAGCTCATCAGGAGCCTCCGGGGACTTTCTTAGAACCAGTCACCCGTTCAGGGAAACGCTGAGGATGCAGGTCCGTGTCTGTCCCAGGGCCACTGGAGGGTTATTGACCGACAAACTGCCTCGCAGCCAAGCCCAGGCTCCCTCCCTCGCCCCCGAGGGGGCTGTGCTGCCGTGACATTGACCAGTTCTCCCCAGGCCCAGGCAGGACCACGTGCAAGCATTCCTTCCCGGTTGTTAAAACGTTTTTGTGTGGGTGCAGTCCACTTTAAAATAAGTATTTGTGATTTCAGAGAGGAAGGGAGCGGGAGAGAGAAAAACATCCATTTGAAGCAGTCCTGGGGTTCTCCATGGCTTTTGCCAACAAAACAAAATAATCGTTTTGGGCTTCATGACTGAGACTAAGCCGGGATGCTTTGAACCCAGGCGTTGACACGTGTGTGTATGCGTGTGCGCGCGTGTGCGTGTGCGGTGCGCCCGCCAGGCCGGCCGGTGCTCATGGCGGCTGTGCCTGTCCCTCTAGATTAAGTTTGACAGCGTGGAGGTGTGCATCTGCTGTGAGACGCAGCACCGGGCGGCCGGCTGCAGCAACCTCGGGGAGACGCTGAAGCTGAACCCGCTGCGCGAGGACTGCAACGCCGTGCGGCTGACCCTCAAGGTGACGCCCGGGGAGCCCGCCCTGCGTCCCGTCCGTGCTCACGGGGTTCGGGCGGTTCCCTCCGTGCGTGCCTCTCCGTGCGTGTCCCCCCGAGGTCAGGGAGCTGCAGGAGGGCCTCTCTCGGGACTTATTTCCAAGGGTCACAGATTCCACTGGAAGGTGCCACCTTCTTCTCGGGCACCTTGGTCCCTTTCCCTTTCCTGCCTCGGGCGGATGTGAGGGTGGGAATGGAGGGAAAGTCTGGACGAATTTCGGACTCCTGCTTCCTGATGCGTTTGCTGCCCGCCGTCAGGGAACAGATGGCTGCTGACTTTCCCTTTTTTAAAAAAAATAAATATTTTTTTACTGATTTCAGAGAAGAAGGGAGAGGGAGAGAGAGAAACATCCATGATGAGAGAGAACCACGGATCGGCTGCCCCCTGCACGCCCCACACTGGGGATCCAGCCCCTAACCCGGGCCTGTGCCCTGACTGGGAATCGAACCAGCAACCTCTTGGTTCATAGATTGACGCTCAGCACTGAGCCACACCAGCCGGGCAAGGCCCGTGTTGATTATGAAAATAAAACATCACAGGAGAAAGCGTCCGTGAGGTGGAGGCGGTTGGCAGGCTGGTTGTGGGGTTGGAGGCGTGCGCAGGGCCTGCCCGGCCGCCCGGGAGCTGACCTTCTCCGCGTCTCTCCCCGCAGGACCTGCTCTTCAGCGTGTGCGCCCTCAACGTGCTCTCCACCATCGTGTGCGCCCTGGCCACCGCCATGTGCTGCATGCAGATGGTCTCCACCGACATCCTGCACCTGGTGAGTGGCCCCAGCCCCTCCTCCGGCCGGTGGGGACCGACGGACGTGGGAGAGCGGACATTCTCCTGGTTCCGAGGTGGATGCTCAGCCACTGGGCCACGCCGGCCGGGCTCTGGCCAGATGCTTTGTAAAGCAGGGCCCTTCAGGAAGGGCTGTGTAACCAGGGCCCGTGGCCTGGTCTCCGTGCTCGTGAGGGCTCAGGGGGAGACTCACGCCACTCCTGGCACCAGCACCAGCAGGATCACCAGCATCTTCACCGCCCAGGTCACCAGGCCTGGCCCAGCGCCACTGTGCCCAGCTCTCCTGGGACCCACAGGGACCTTCATGAGGCCTGGGGTCAACTGAAGGGCATCTGGGTGGCAGGCGCTGCGCCTCTATCAGACAGACCAGGACTGGTGGGCGTCTGATGAGTGAAAAGCTGGTTATAGTCCTGCTGGTGTGGCCCAGTGGTCAGAGCATCGGCCGCACACCAGAGGGTGGTGGGTTCGTTCCCCAGTCCCAGTGAGTGTGTGTGGCAGGCAACCAATAGATGTGGCTGGCCTTCTCCCTCCCTTCCTCGCTCTAAAAATCAATTTTAAAATCTAAAAATAAATATAGTCGAATGTGTGTTTAGCCGGCAAGGCCCAACAGTTTAAATGACGTAAGTCCCACACTGAAGCTCATGTGCAGTTAGGTCAGCTGGACACGGGCCACACGCGGCGTCCCAGTCACGGTGCACCTGCTTCCAGTTCCTTCCGCACAGGGCGCCTTCCTCCAGCCCCGCCTGCCTGACCCCGCACGGCACCGTCCTCCACCAGACGCTGGACTTCGAGGAGTTCATCCCGCCTCTGCCGCCGCCCCCCTACTACCCCCCCGAGTACAGCTGCACGCCCCCGGCCGAGGCCCACAGGTGGGTGTGTCCGCGGTGCCTGGGGACGGGCTGACGCCCGGGGAGATGGGGAACGATTGGGCAGATGCACGTGGCAGAGGCCGTGCCATCTTCAGTAGAGAAGCTGTGGAGGGGGCGGGGGGAGCGCAGGCCATGAGAGCCGGTTGGTCAGAGAACAGCGTGAGCAGCGGAGGGAAGTGACTCAGAGCGAGAAGTTTCTCTGGGTGTCTCTCCAGGACACAGAACCAAACCCAGGAAACCCAGAGCCCCTGCCGATGGGAGCCCTTGATAGAACATGTGATTGCTGATTAAAGAGATTAAAGATGGAGTCAGCTGGGGAGCATTTTCATTTTAATTTTTTAAAATACTTTTTCAGAGAGATAGGAACATCAGTGATGAGAAAAAATCATGGATCGGCTGCCTCCTGCACGCCCCACACTGGGGATCGAGCCCGCAACCCAGACACGTGCCCTGACCGGGAATCTGAACCGTGACCTTCTGGTTCATAGGTCAACACTCAACCACTGAGCCACACTGGCCGGGCTTTAATTTTAATTTTAATGGACAGAGCCATTGAGTTTATTGGAAATGGTGTTATCTTTCCAGAAAACAAAAGCTAAAACTGGGGAGCGAATTAGGCTTTTACTTCACAAACACGAGGAGTATCCGACCAGGGGAGCTGACAAGCGCTGTCAGCCTTCGGGGCTCCTCCCCGGGGTGACAGGCGATGTTTGCCTCCTCAGGGGCCTCCGCCTGGACTTGGCTCCCGCCCCATTCGGCACCTTGTACGACGCGGCCATCAACAGCCCCGGCCTGCTCTACCCCGCGGAGCTGCCCCCGCCTTACGAGGCCGTGGTGGGCCCGGCCCCGCCCAGCCAGGTGAGACCCGCCCGGGAAACGGCTCCCTGCACGCGGGCCTGCTGCCCGCACGGGTCTCTGTCTGAGCCTTTCACGAGCCGGTGGGATGCGGGTGTCACCAGCCGTGGTGGGGAGCAGGCAGCAGGCCAGAGGGCAGAACCTGGGACCCACCCAGTATTTGTGCCTCTTCCCCTCGGCCCCTCAGGCGTGTCTGAGCCTAACAAATACATTTTCCCCCCCACTTCCACTGCCTGTATGTATGTATGTGTATATATATATTTCAGAGAGAGGAGGGGAGAGGGAGAGGAAGATAGAAACATCAGTGATGAGAGAGAAGCATTGATCGGCTGCCTCCTGCACACCCCACACTGGGGATCGAGTCCGCAACCCGGGCCTGTGCCCTGATGGGAATAGAACCCTGGACTCTTCAGTCCACAGGCTGATGCTCTATCCACTGAGCTGCACCGGCCAGGGCGCCTTTATATATTTTTAAAAATATTTTTGTATTGATCTCAGAGAGGAAGGGAGAAGGAGAAAGAGACAGAAACATCAAAAGTCACAGAGAAACGGCCTTGAGTTTGGCCGGGGCGTCTCCACCTCACGCCCCCGGACTTTCGGGGGGAACGTTAGTGCCCGCCCCCCAGCATTTCCTACGAGATGGTGGTTCCGAGTCGCCCTCCTGACCGGCCCCTCGCTGCCTGTTTCTGGCTGTAGGTCCCGAGCACAGACCAGCAGGGGGCCCAGACCAGCTCCGGGGACCCGGTCGCCTCTGCCGGCTTCTGCGCACAAGGTAACCTCACCTGTCGGATTGGAGATAAGATGTTTATCCTTTTTTTTTTTTTTTTTAATATGTGTTTACTGGTTTCAGAGAGCACCAGCCGCCCAGGCTCCCAGGGTGCCACCGCTCTGGGCCCCAGCCACCTGTCCCCCGACGGCCCCGTGGGAGCCCCGCCGCCAGCCCGGCACCCCGGCCTCACATCCCCCGGGGGCCCCAACCTGGGCACACAGACACCTCCGGGCCCTGGCCGCCTGGCCCGCTCCACCAGCGACCCCACCGCGTGCTCGTCCGGGGCAGCAGGTACGACTGCCCCGCCCACCTGTGGCCCCACATGCTGGCTGTGGTTGAACCCCTCGGGCCTCGGGGGCCCTGGGTCCAAGGCCGCCCTGGGAGCCCTACCCGGGCCACAGTGACACGTGGTCTGATGCTCGGTCCCGAAGGGAGGTGGACAGTCTGAGGCCCCGGCTGTGGCGCCTGCAGGCCCACTGCTCTGCTCTGCTCTGCCGGGACGGGGGGTGGGAAGTGTGGGAAGTCTGGGGTGATGAGAGCCACCGGGTCGGCCGGCCAGGCCCCAGCACAGCCTCCGGGCCGAAGTGCCGAGCACCAGGCTTTGACCGTGAGCCTGTGGGCTCCACCCGGGCCTGGCCTGGGCTGTGCACTCCCCCTGCCAGCGTCCGCCTGGGATCTTGTTGCTCAGATTCGGACTCTGTCCTCCCCTCCCGGGGCCTGCCCGCAGCACCGGCCGGGCGCTGATTCCGGCCGAGGGGACAGAGGGCCTCTGCCTGCGGCCCTTCTCCCGGGCGCGTGGCTTGTGCCCGTCCGCAGCCCCTCGGCCCCGCTAGGTCAGTGGGGCCAGGAGGGACAGGAAGCAGGGCCACGCCCAGCTGCCACCCCAGGACCCAGAGCTCCCAGCAGAATGCGGGTCCCTGCGTGTCACGGGGCAGCCGCCCCCGGTGCTGTGTGTTTGGCCTGTTTTCTCACGCCATCTTTCCCCTTGACTTTCAGTCTCCCGGTCTCGCTCTGCCGTGGCTGCCTGTGCCCGCCGACACCAGCCATCCCCACCCGGGCACCCTGACACCTGGGAACCGCAGGGGCGCCCAGAGCCCGAGGCCTCGCCGGCGGTCGCCAAACAGCGGCCGCGCTCCGTCGTGGACAGCGAGGCCCACGCGGGCACCGGGGGCCTGGTGACCAAGTTTCTGGGGCGCTCCAGCCGCCCCCTCTCCCCCGCGGAGCGCCCCATGGACGGGGCCGTCTTCAGTGCGGCCGTGCTGGACCAGGTGTGAGCCGCCAGCTGTGGGCGTGGACACGGACAGGCTGGCGTCACAGGGGCCTGCGGGAGCCGTACCTGTGGGGAGAGGCGGCCCCAGAGGACCTGGGGGTGGCTGCTGGCCCCTCCCCCGGGGGAGCCGGTCCATCGTATCCTTGGGGGACACACGTCCTGCCCAGCGCAGTCACACCGAGGACCGTCCGTCTGTCCAGTGCGCACCTGGCTTTGTCAGGCACGTGGGCTCTCGGACTGACCAGCCGCACAAGAAGCCAGGGGCAGGCGACTGTCGGGTAATGAAGACGCGAAGTGCTTCCAGCCCAGGATTCTCCCCGATGTGGTTCCCGACGTGGACAGAGGGGGCACGGAGGCTGAGGCTGCTTTCTCCTGTCCTGGGCCCCGCTTTGCCCGCGGGGCTGAGGGAACCGTGCCAACATGTACGAAGGGGGACAGGCGTGGAAGGGGCTTTGTGGAGCGCCCCCTCTCTCAGCCCTCCCCCCGTGGGGGCCCCGCCCGGCGCTCTCCACCGTCCCTACCTGGTGCGAGGACCGCGGAGTAGACGCTGTGGTTGAATCCGTCACAGGAACCCTTGGGACAAGCCACTGCTTCTCGTTTTCTTGCATCTGCCCCCCCCCCCCCGCCCCCGGACTGGCCTCGAGGGTGGAGGTCTGGGGGAGAGGCCCGTGTCCCCCAGATCCATGTGTTTCCCGAGAAAGCAGGTCTCTGCTGGCCCAGCCAGGCGGTGGCAGCCACGTCGGCGTTGGGAGGACCCAGGCTGTCAACCGTTTCTGTGCAAAACACCCCCCCGTGGGGCGTCTGCAGGAGCAGCCAGCAGCTGGGCACCTGGTACTTGGCCACATCCCCACGCGGGCCCTGGGGCACCTCTGCAGCCGTGGCAACACCTGGACCCACAGCGCAGCCACCAGCACCTGAGCGGCCACCGAGGCCCCTGCACTGGACGAGGCCGCGACAGCCCCCGGGCCTGGCGTGGGGAGGACTGGACGGGCCCTCTGCTCTGTGGTCACGCGGCCGACGTGAGAAGGGGAGCCGGGTGTCCGGCCCAGGAACAGGTCGGGGAAGGAGCCGTGAGATGGTCAGCTGTGGCCGCCGGGATCGACTGGCCGCTGCCTCCCACCACTGAGAGCCGCAGGTTCCAGCCCCGCCTCTGGGACAGGGAGGACCCCGGGGACACTGCAGGTGAGTGAGCGCTTCGCGCAGACGGGGAGGCGGGAAACCTGCTCTCTAGGTTCTCTCTCTTTTTAAAATTAAATGTCGGGGGTGACGGGCATTGGTTCATAGGACAAGGTTAATAACGTGGTGGTGTGGGCGGACGGGCTAACCCGCCGTCCGACGGTGGATGAGGGAACATGGGGTTTATTTAAGGGAAGGGGCTGGGGGATGAGATGTGCGGAGGGAAGGGCTGTGAGCACCGAGCGGGGACGCGGGGCGACGATGGCAGCCCGGGAGCCGGCCGTCCTCCTCACGTGCCGGCACCGGCGGGGCTGGGCCTGAGCGGGCGGCCGGAATGCAGGTAAGTGATGAGCGTTTTAGGGCAGTTTCCACTCCTTTATGACCCTGGGGTCCAGGCAGACTTCCCGGTCCTGGCCCTCCTGTGGCCGAGAAGGCGACCACACAGCGTTCAGGGAGGGTTTCCACGCCACAAGGTCCGTCTATGGCACCGTGCGCCCAGCACCCAAAGTCACATCTTCCCCCGTCACCATATATTAGGCCCCCCTCCCCACCCCCTGCCTCTGGCAGCCACCGCACTGCGGTCTGTGTCCCCGAAGGAGTGAGATTGTACGGCTCAGAGCGCTGTCTGCCGGACGGATCTCACTCGGCATGTTCTCGGGTCCAGCCATGTTGTTGCAAATGGCGCTGTTCCCCTTGCTTAGGGCTGAGCTGAGGAGTGTCCTGTTGTGTACGTGTGCCTGGTCCTCTAACGTGGACACTGGTTGTTTCCACGTGTTGACCACCGTGAATGCTGCTGCAGCGGACACAGGGGTGCAGTGTCTGTGAATACAGGGTTTGGAGGGTTTGGGGCTCACCCAGGAGGGGCTGCTGGTCGTGTGGCAGCTCTGTGCTCAATTTCTTAGGAATCTCCAGGCCCTTTCCCTAGTGGCTGCACCATCGCATTCCCACCAGCAGTGACTGAGGGCCCCCCTTCCATACCTTCCCCCCACTTGCTGCTTGTCCTGCTGCTGCTGCCCCTCTGGCAGGTGGGAGGGGAGCTCTGCAGCTGTGATCTGCATCTCCCCGGGCGCTTTCTGACCGGGCTGCTTGGCGTGGAGTTGGACGCCTTATTCCTGTACTTTGGGAAGTAACCTTTGTCGGAGCTGCTGTTTGCAAATATCCCCTCCCGCCCGGTTTCTTCAGCTCCTTTGGTGCAGGAGCTTTTCGGTTTGATGTGGTCGCTCGTTCATTTCTGCCTTCACTTCCCTGGCCTTTGGGTCAAGTTCCCAAGATGCCCCCTGTGCCCCGGGTCCGTGTTTTCTTCTGTGTAACTGGTTGCGGGTCTGACAGGTCGGTCTTTGGTCCCTTTTGAATTAACGTTTGTGCGTGGGGACAAACTCTAACCCCGTTTCACTCGTTTGCATGTGGTTTTTCTCAGCTGAGGGCTTCGCAAGTCCCCCAGCCAAGTTCCTGTGCAGGCAGTTAGGTGAGGGCTTTCCAAGGGGCCCCCCAACATCTCCAGCGCAGCCCCCGGCCTGGTCTCTGGAGGGGGCTCTTACTTCACAGCGTCTCTGGGGTCGCAGGGCCCCTGGGCCAGGCTTGGGGGGCTGTCTGCAGTTGTGACCTGGGATTGAGGCCAGCCCCCCCTCCCCCGCACCAGGGCGGAGCTTGGGCTCCTGTGTGTGTGTGTGTGTGTGTGTGGTGTGGGGTGTGTGTGTGTGGTGTGGGGGGTGCTCCAGGCTGGAAGTGCTCTTGAATTTGGATTTTCTGTGTATCATTTGGAGCCCCCCCCCCCCCCCCCACTGTTAACCGGGGGTTTTCCTCCCCAGGTTCTTTTAGCCTGCCCTGGCTCCACGGGGAGGCGCCCCTTCCCTCCAGCTCCAATCCTGGGGGTTCCTCCCGGCCCAGCTGCCCCCCTTGAAGCCGGGGGGTCCAATTGGCCAGGGTCTAAGCCTGAAGGGGTGGCCTCCCCACGGCAAGGGAAACGGACGTGGCCCCAGGGAAAAAAGCCTGGCAAGCCCGCGGTAAGGTTGGAGGGGAACCCCAGGTAGAGAGAACGGCTGAGGGGGGGGCTCTGTTCCGTGGAGGGGGAGTCCGGTTTGGTTCCACACACACACACACACACACACACACACACGTGCACCTCTCCCGGGGGGACCCCAGGTGCCTCTCTCCTTAGTCGGAAGAGGGGTGAGCCAGGTGACCTGTCACCGTCGCCGACCTGGGCAGGGAGAGGCCAGGAGGGGCCGCGGCGCGTGCAGGTGAGTGCGAGTCCGGCGCCTCCGTTAACAAACCAGCCACACACGGTGAGGACGACGTCGGGTTTATTACGGGTCAGCGAGGCTTCCTACGTGGCGCATGCAGCACACGGCACGCCGTGCCGACGGGAATCCGAGCGCAGTTGTTAGCGGGTAAGGCTTCTTATCACAGTGTATCTCCCGGACACGCGCCGCCGGCCAGCACTGACCTCGGGGCGGGGCCAGGCTGGGGTCACCTTCACCCGCCGGGAGGCGCCTGGCCCCCAGGAGGGGCGGGGGCGAGGTCTCTGTGTGTTTGGGAAGCACGTGTGTCGACAGGGATTGTAAAGAGGGGGCGATGCCCAGGCTCCGCCTCGTCCCCGGGAGGAGCGTGGACAGGTGGGCGGCAGGTGGGTCACCTGGAAACCCTGGGGTCTGAGGAAGGGGCTGTGGAGGTTGTCAGCCCCGCGGGGTTTCTAAGGATGGAGCTGGATGTGGTGGCCTCGTCCTTTCTTTAACTCGGCGACGGCTCCTCCTCAGAGTTCAAGACAATCGTGTCTCCCCAACGTCACTTACAAGGACGTCCTGAGAGCGGGGGCCTCCCAGGACCCCATCCCTGCCGCCCCAGGAGCTCGCTGTCTCCAGGGACTCGCTGGGGCTCGGAGGACAGACGGCACAGCACAGGTACACACACCTCGTCCGCCGCGCCGAGAACAGCGCGATGCGCACACACTGACTGCCCCGCGCTCTCCTTGGAGGAAGACAGACCCTCTCGTCAGGGGAGCGTGGGGTCCGGCCTCGGCTCTAGATGTACAGCGGGGTCTCCTGGCCCGTGAGGAGCCGGAACATGGCGGCGGGCATGGTCTTCATATGGATCTGCCAACGAGAGAGGGGCTGAGGCCTCCCCCCTCCCCCAGGTCTGGTGCCGCCCCTCCCGCGCAGGCTGAGCAGGTGGGACAGACGGGAGGGACTGGCCTGGGGCCGCGGGTCTCACCTCCCCGACCGAGTTGGACAGAGCCTGCACGATCTTCTCGTGGGCCGTGGCCACCACGCTCTGCCCGTTGATCTCGATGATGCGGTGGCCGACGCGGACGCCCCCTCGCTCGGCGATGCCGCCCCGCATGAGGCTGCAGATCTGAGCAGACACGGTCGTTAGCACGCGGTCCCACCACACCGCCCGGCGCTCCTGCCCCCAAGACGGGCAAGGACTCCACCTGCAGGCACTGCCCAGTGGCTCTCGTCTCTCTGAGGTTTTGTCTTTTTAGGGATCCTCACACCTAAGGGCCCGGAACCCCAGCCGGGACTCCCGCCTGTCATAGCCGCTTCTCCAACCCCAGCTGGAGTTTGGGGGGCAGGCTGCCCCTCTCAGAGGAAGGCGGCATCTCCCCGCTGGAGACTGTCCCTTGGTGGGTGGTGGTGTGGGAAGAGAGGAGGGACCCTTTTAGAAAAAGCGACAACTGGGTCACCCAGGGCCTGTCTGCCCACGACGCCTGTGCTGAGGGTGTAATGAAGCTGAAAATGGAAAAGGCACTTGAGCAAGACTAACGCCGATGTCGGCAAACTTTTCCAGGGAAGCTGGCTGCGTGGCACACCGAGTCGGTGGGCACGGCGTCCCAGCGAGAGGAGAGCCCGCCGGCCACCAGGGCCTCGCGTGCACGCCCGTGGCCTGGTTACTGACGCCGTGGGCCCGGCAACAGACCGACCCCCGACTGCCCACAATGCCGCCACTTCAGCTGGAGCCTGGGGAGAGTGACCTCGCCCCTGAGAAACGGGACCAGCCGCGGGGAGTCCTCTCTGCCTTTCTAGGAGGTTCCCCTGACCAAGGACACACGCACACAGCCCCACGCAGGCCGAGAACAGGAGCCTGGGCTGGAGAGCTCGGGCCTGACAGACGGGCCCGGAGTTGGGGGCAGACCAGCTCCCTCCGGGCAGCTCGCTGTGGGTGGAAGTGAGTCTGACGCTGCGGGGCTGCAAGGGCCCTGCCTCCCTCCCTGCCTGGCTGTGTCCCTGGCGGACCTGCGCCCAGACCCTAGCGTGGCCCGGGGAGCGGACTCACGATCCCGTTCTGCACGCTGAAGCCCAGCTGGTACTTGAGGTCTGGCCGCTTGATGAGGACCGTGGTGACGGGCGGGCAGCTGACGATGTTGAGCTTCACTTGCGTCTGGTTCTTCAGACCCTGCAGAGCGGGGACAGGAGTCAGGTGAGCAGGAGCCCGTGTCCCTCTGTGAGGGGTGAAGGCGTCACCCACCCTGACCCGTGTGCAGGGTGGGCTGGGGCCCCGTGCCCTGAGCTGCCCTCTGCTCCAGACGGAGCCAGATGCCAGGCTCTGTGGCCCTGGGCACAGCCACCCGCCGGCCCAGTCACGGGGCAGAGCCGGGGGTCTTCCTGTGGGGAGGACCTGGGGACAGGAGTGCCTGGCTCAGTGGGCATCTGCCAGTGTCCACGCGACACGGGCCACCTGGAGCCAAGGCAGCTCGGGCCCCAGAGAACGAGGCTCGGCAAGCGCCCAGGTTCTGGGAGGGCAGCCAAGCCTCCCCACAGCTCCTCTGGCCAGTCCTCAGCCCAGAGGCGGCTCGGGGCTGCTCGGAGGGGGTGGGTGGCCGCACACAGCCCTTCACAGCTGGTGGCCCAGCACCCACAGCCCCCGGCGGGAGGCTCCACGCTGCCCAGGCCTCAGGCACCACTGCCTGAGGCATGTGGTCCCTCGTCTGTCTGTGAGGTCACCCACCAGGTAGACACTCTGCTGGGCAAGCTCCTGGGGTCAGGCTGACGAGGGGGGAGAGGTGTCCTGCGCCACAACCACGGTGGGTGGGGACAGACCACAGCGGGGCTGCCGCCCGGGGTCCCTGAGAGACCCTCCGCCTGACCCCTCTGGGGCCTCAGCTGTAAGCAGCAGGCCCACCCTCTTACCCGAGACCCGCCTCCCAGGTGGCCGGGCAAACCAGGACGGTTGGTCGCCTACACCTCGGGCAGCGTGGGAGCCCCGGGCCTCTCTGGCTTCAGCAGAGGCACCGCCTCAGGGGGCTCTCTGGACCCCACGCCTGGAGCACAAGGGAGGCGGGCGGGAGCCCAGGCCCGTGCGTACCTTGATGATGCCCTGGCAGGTGGCGAGGGGCAGCCCCACCAGGCTGGTGCCGTCGATGGACATGATCTGGTCCCCGATGCTCAGCTTCCCCGAGCGGGCGGCGGGGCCCCCGTTGAGCATGTTGGCCAGGATCACGGTGGGCAGGATGGAGCCCCAGCCCGACTCCACCACCACCACGCCCAGGATCTCGCCCTTGTGCTTCTCCAGCTGCAGCTGCGGGGGGCGGGGGAGGTAAGCGGGGCTGTGGGGTGCCCGGGGCTGCCACCGCCACCACCCCCTGCCCCCCGGCCTCCCAACCACCCTGGGAGCAAAGACTCCCGGACTCGACCCTGAGCCTGGTTTGCTTTTGCCTAAAAAAGTCCTTTTCTTCTCTCGGCCTCACAGGTCTCTCAGGAGCCGCCTGTCACCCATCTCCTCGCTCCTGGTCGCTCCCACCCACCGGGGCTGGGAGTGGGCAGCCCAGCGGGAAAGGCGCCTTTTCAAGGTCGTTAAGACGGGCTGTCATCAGTGCTTCGTTACCAGGCGCCTCCTCACACCCAAGTGCTCAGCCCCGGAGGCAGGAGCCAGAGGCAGGCAGGGGCGTGGCGGGCGCGGTGACGCAGGGCCGGGGCTCACCTCCTTGCAGTTCTCCGAGTTGGAGAAGTGGATGAGGTCGTCGTTGTACATCTCCTGGGAGCTGATGATGTCGCTGTAGTCCTTCTGGCTCAGGTCCTCGGGGTTGATGCCGTTGGCGCGCAGGAACTCCTGGTAGGCCACGCTGAAGGCCTGGCCGATGGACTGCGCGATGAGCTGGGCCTGTGGGGAGGGCACCTCAGAGGCCCGCCTGGAGGGGCGTGGACGCCTGAGGGGAACTGGGGCCCTTTCTGCGGCCGGTACCTGCGGCCGGGCCCTGGCTGCCCACCGGACAGTGTGGGGCAGGCACAGCCTCAATAAAGGGCAAAGCTGACCAGCGACCTGCTCACAACCACGGCGACCACTGTTTCCTTCCCACCCACCCCGCTCTCTCCAACGGGGCGCAGGCCCTGGGCCCTGGGCATGTCCCCGGCCTGGACTCGCCCGAGAGCCCGCGGAGGCCCCAGCCTTCGGACGCCAGGACCTGCCTGCCCCATGGGGTGTCCACCTGACCGAGGTGCCCTGCTCCCTGCACCCCTAGGGGACAGCTTGCAGGGGCTGCCCAGCCCCTGGGAGGCCGTCCCCGCCAGGCATCTGTGCTGCGGGCTCCCCTCCCCTCCCCTGGCCCTGACTGGGGTGGGGCTTAGAACCCGGCAAACAAGGGGCTCCCCACTCCGAGGGGCCGAGAGGGCAGGGGCAGCAGCTGTGGCCCAGCACCTTCATCTGTGCACCTCACCGACCCTGCCTGGGGGGAACCGAGGCTCACAGACCCACTGGTGTCCTGGTGCCGCCTCAGGGTCCCCAGCTGTTCCTCTGCTCACAGACCCTCCACCCTCCTCACCCAGTGGCCACCTGGGTGGGGCCACCATCTGGGCCCTGCTCTCTGGGCAGCTGCGGGTGTCCCCTCACCCCTCCCAGGACGAGGACACGGCAGCTCCCAACAAGCCCCCTGCGGGGCCGGCACCCGGAGCCTCTCCTCCCCGGGCCCTAAGGCGTCCCCAGGCCTGAGCCACACGCAACGCCCTCCTGTCCGGCACCTGCGTGCGGTGGAAGGGGGTGCAGGAGGGTGTGTGGAACGTCGTCTCCTGGAAGCGGGCCGTGGCCACAGCACTTCTGGGGACGGCGGCTTCTTAGCGAGAAGCCCGATGACGGCCCCGCCCACCCCGTCCTCGACAGGAAGCTGTCGGACCTCCCCGTGGCTCCAGGTCCCCGCAGCCCTCGAGCGACAGCCAGGTGGCCCCGCCTGCCCGTGTTCCCCAGGCGCCTGCAGTGTTGGGGGCCCGCGCGGCGCTCACTCACGTCCTCGGACTCGAACACGTGGCAGATCATCTTGTACTGCTTCTTCCCCTCGGGGGCGCCCGGCGTGGTCTCGATGCAGTCCTGCGAGGCCGCCCGGGGCATGCGCCGCCGCGCCATGAGCACCACGATGTTCCCGATGTCCGCGATGTAGGAGATGGTGCGCAGGGCGTGGTCCATCATGGTTTCCTGCAGGGAGGGCGGGTCAGGGAGCTCAGACACGCCTGGAAAGCACACTCCAGCCCCGGCCGGTGTGGCTCAGTGGCTAGAGAATTGGCCTGTAGACTGAAGGGTCCCGGGTTTGATTCTCGGTCAGGGCACATGCCCGGGTTGCAGGCTCCATCCCCAGTAGGGGGCGTGCAGGAGGCAGCCGATCCATGATTCCCTCTCATCATTGGTGTTTCTATCTCTTGCTCCCTCTCCCTTCCTCTCTGACATCAATAAAAATGTTTAAAAAACAAATAAGTGGGTTTTGTTTAAAAACAACAATACTGCAGTTCGTGGTTCCTGGACCCCGACACGTGTGATGCCCGGGCCAGACCCCTCTTGGCCTGTGCCCTGCGGCTGTTGGCCGCCTTCCTGGCCACGCCCCCAGGCAGCCAGCAGCACCCACCACCTGCCCAGGCTGTGACAGCCAAGAGGGCCTCCTGCCCTGCTGAGTGCCCCCTGGGGGACAGAGCCCCCCACCTCCCTGTCGCACCCCCCCCCCCCCATTACAAACCACAGCGTTAGCTACAGCGGGAGAGCAGTGACTCAGGCCAGGGCCAACCTGCCTGCATTTACCCCAAAGGACACTCGTGGAGGCAGTTGCTGGGGGGCCCTCATCCCTGGGGGAGGCCCGACTGCCTGGTCCGAGCCAGGGTGCCCCCTGCAGAGCGCGTGCCTGGCCCAGACCCTCCACGTGGAGGAGGGAAGGGAGCCTTGAGGCCGTGGAGGGAGCCCACACCACCTGGGCCGCGTCGGGGGACACGGCAGCTCCCTGACCCCACGGATGGGCCCCTCGGCCCCTGGAGGGCCCGTCACCCAAGGAGGCTGCACACAAGGCCCTTTGTCCTCTCCCCACAAAAGAAAGCGGTTTCTCAGCCTCCCGCCTCCCAGGACCCTTCTCTTCCCAGCGGTGTGTCCTGCTTGGCTGGGGGTGGCATTTCAGGGAGGGACACGGGAAGGGACAGGGGGCTCCCCGCACCTCCCCATTCTGGCCCGTCAGAGCCGCCCGGTCAGCCTCTCGGTGTCAGAGATGGGGTCCCCCCAGTTCCCAGCTCATGGCAATGGCAGGCGCCTCCTGGCGGGGCCCCCAGCACGGCCAGCCCCTCCCGCCGACCGACCACGTCTGCCTCCCCAGTCCTTCCCGGTTGCTCCTCTCCAGCCCCGGCCGGCACTTTATGTTTCTCAAACCAATTTCCTGCCGCAACTCTCCCCAGTTCACCCTCACCAGCACCTGGAACCCCGTGGCCACCCACACCCAGACCCCTCACCCCAGTCGCCTCTGGGCAGCCAGACCCCAGCTCACAGGACCGCCTGGCCCGGCCTCCTGGCACCGTCTCCACCTGCCACTCCTGCCTGGGACCTGGGTGCCGCTGCGCCCCCCCCCCCCGCCCCCAGACACCAGCCCCCGCTCACCTGTGTGTTCGCATTGAGCACCTTGGTCCTCTGGGTGGAGATGAACAGGTCCACCTCCGTCAGCGTCTGCGCGTCCCCCTCGGAGTGCTGTGGGCGGCGGGGGCACCGTTAGGGCCCGGGGAGCAGCTGGGCAGAACCCGCCTGTCCTCCCAGCCCAGGGGACACCCTCGGGGACGCCGCCCGGGCGTGGAGCAGTCGTCGGAGGGAGAGCTGAGGAGCCCAGAGCGCAGTTCAGTGACTGAGCTCTGCTGAGCGAGTGAACAAGGGGCAGGGGGAGGCGGCGCATCTTGGAAGCTGGAGTGCAGAGGGAGGCCGCACGGATTCCGGCTCAGATATCGAGTTCTTCCGCCCGGACAAGGCGGTCTCGGTTTCACACACCTTGACTCCAAGCCAGGGCAAGGTCCGGGCCAGGGAACCCTCAAGATATCCCCCCGGGCCCGGGAAGAAACCTCCCCAGACGCTGGGTTAACGTCAGCGTTTTCTTCCGATGGAACCGTCACCGTCATTCACCCCCCCCCCCCTCCCCGCAGGCTCGGCCCGGCTTCCAAAAACCCCGAGGGCAGCACGACACGAGCGGATGGCCGAGTGGACGGCGGCGTGCTGCCCTCGCCGTGACGCTGTCACAGGTGCCCGTTCTGTCACCTCCTGGAGCACGCATCTCGGCCACTGGCTTCGGGCACGTGCGTGCCTGGGCACGGCGTGAGGCACCTGCCCCGGCCCCGTCTGCGGGCCCCCATCTCTGCTGACAGGCGAGGACGCAGGCGCCCGCTCTGGGACGGGGTCAGCAGCCCCATGGAGCCCACGCGCCTTATCTTCCCCGTCCACAGAGCAGAAGCTGCGGGAACGCCCCCCGGAAGCCTGGGAGCGGACGCCCTGCTGGGAACCCTCAGGGGGGTCGCAGGCCTCCCTCGGAGAAACCCATGTTCCGCTTGGCGCTCAGGGAGGAGGGTCGTGTGGGCGCTCGGCCGCCGGCTCTCAAATGACCACAAAGACAAGAGAAGCCAAAGACTCACTGCAAACAGCCCGTGGCGGGAGGAGTTCCTCTCCCGTTTTTAAAAACGGTCCCTTCCCATCCAGGCGCCTTTCAAGCTTGTGTTCCAGGATTTTTGCTCAAAACCTTCTGGCTAAAAAGTGGGCCGGGCCCTGGCCGGCGTGGCTCAGCGGACAGAGCGTCGGCCTGCAGACTGAAGGGTCCCGGGTTCGATTCCAGTCAGGGCACAGGCCCGGGTTGTGGGCTCCATCCCCAGTGGGGGGCGTGCAGGAGGCAGCCGAGCCATGATTCCCTCTCATCATGGATGCTTCTCTCTCTCCCTCTCCCTTCCTCTCTCTGAAGTCAGGGGAAGGAGGCCTCGGTGCCCAGCCGAGCCTTCCGCACGGCCCTGGCTGTCCGAGCACCGGGAGCTGTGAGAAGGGCGGCCAGGTTTGCAAACAAAGAACAAAGACCCTCCGTCCCGCACGCCTGTCACACTCCAGAGGGTCTGCCGCGGAGGAGGCGTCCCCGGCGAGCGGGAGCTTCTATTACCGGGCTGAGTAAATTAAACTTAATGAGTCTGTAACTATCGGAACGGTTTAATTAATTCTCCACAGGGGGCCCGGCATGAACCGCGTCACGTGGCCGCTCCGACGCCCCCCTTAAACACGTCTCTGTGAGGCCCCGCACCCGACACTCAGAGACTGAAAGGAAAAGGGCCAGGACTCAGTTCTCCCGTCGGGGGCGGGCACACAGCGTCTGCCGCTTCATTCAAAAGCCCGTGTCTCCCGAGGGAAGAGGAAGAGCCACTTGCGCGTCACCCATGTTTCCGGTGGGACCCCCGGCCCCCCCTGCTCAGCACACAGGGACCCGCGGCTACCCACCGCCTTCTTCTTAATCTTAGCCGCTTTCTGCATCCTCTGACAGCGTGGGGGGAGACAGAGGAGGGCGCAGAGTTAGTGCGTGTCTGGTCCACACCCCAGCGCTCGGACCTCCTGCCCAGGGGTCGGGGAGCGGCCACCCCCCGTGGGCACAGGGCCCGAGGGCGAGGCTGAGGAGGGCACAGCAGGCAGGCCCGCTGCCCTTGGGGGCTCACACCGAGCACCCCGTTTGCCTCCAGGGCAGCGCACCCACAGGCCACCCGCCCCCCCAACCATCAGCTCCGGGGCCTCGGCCTCGGCCTGCCCAGCGCCCCCGGCGGTCAGCCGGGCGGCCACCTCGCGGAGCTGCGAGGGGCGGGTGTTCCTCGGGGCCATGAGGAGAATTCACTGTGAGGCCCGTCCCCCCACAAGCAATGATTCTCTCACGGATGAGCGAGCGGCGCTACAAGCCGCAGCCCCGGGGAGATGACTGCCGCTCGCGTGGCCTCTGGGGGCCGTGGCCGGTGCGCACGGGGAGCAGCTGCCTGTGCCCGGGCAGCCCCTCCCTCCAAGGCCAGTGTCGCCGCTGCTGGCACCTCGGGCAGCCCCTGCCAGGGCCGGGGTGGGAGCTGCTCCCTCCGGGCGGGGCCCTGCGCCCCCCGCCTGCCCCTCTACCTTGACCCGGCTGACAGCCTCCTGGGCCTGCATCATCCGGATGTTCTTGGACGGGTTCCGCTCCGACAGCAGCTGGGTGGAGCCCAAGTAGTTGGCAGCAAAGATGATGCCGTCGATGAGGTCCTCTGGCTCGCAGGGCCCTGGAACTGAAGGGCCCCGTCAGCTCTCCGGGGGGGCAGGAGGCGTCCCAGCCAGGCCCCGGGGCGCCCCTCTGCGCTGGGGCCTCGTGAAAGCCCAGGGCGGGTCACGGCGCCCGCACCCCCGGGCCACACGCAGGCACTGGGAGCCCAGATGCCAGCAGCAGCCACGCCCGCCTCCTTCCCCAGCGCGGCTGCGCTCACGGCCATGGGGCTGGGAGCACGGGGTTCTGAAGGTTAAGGCTGAACGTCACTGGGTCGGCCCTGGCTCAGGAGCGGCCCCGCCTGCTCCCCCCCTGGCAGGGCTCGGGGCCACTGCTGCCCTCCAGGTCCTTGGGTTACAAGGTGATGAGAGGCGGTGGGAGCCTAACTCTCGTTCATCTCAACGAGCCTGCACAATGTCAGTGAGGAGGGGAGGCTGCGAAGGGGCCCAGCGGGAACCCCCTGCCCCCCAGCAGCAGCCGTGGTCGGGGTGGCGTCGGCCAAGTCACCACAGTGGGGCCAGCCTCGCGCCTCCCTGCAGGGCGGCTACTGGCCACCAGGTGGCGCCGCTCTGGCTGCAGGAAAGGCCTGGGGTCCCCGCCCGCCCTCGGCCAGCAGAGCCCTCCTCTCTGTGGGGTGCGGGGCTGCATGGCACCCAGGGCCCATCCCCGGGTGGGGGTGGGGCGTCCCTTCTGAATTCCACCTGTGGAGGCTGCTGCCTGTGCCCCTGGCCTTTCTGGGGTCCCCGTCCCCATGGCAACCCAGGCCCCCGAGGAGCTTCACTCAAGACTGGCCCCACTGCTCCCCAAAGGAGCCACAATGCCCTGGGGCTCATCTGGGGACAGGGACGGGCTCCTGGGTGCAGAGGGGCCACCCCGGGCCGTGGGCCGCCACCCGTACCCGAGGCGCCTGCTCCACGGCCGCCTCCTGCGCCCGGTCCTCCCCGGCTGCTCCTTCTCCACACGAGGGGCGAGGGGCGCACAGCCCTCCTGCCGGCCCACCGCCGCCCTGGCGCCCGCAGGGAGAAGGGGAGCAGCAGAGGGGCAGGCGGGAGGGCACGCAGCCCGAGGCAGCAGCGCAGAATTCCACCCTGAGCTGCCCTGAGCTGAGGCCACGGAGGGAGACAGGACACAGGGGAGGCGGCCGGTCCCTTGCATTGTCCTCTGATGACACCTGCCCCCGAGTGTGTGGAGAACACACGTGTCTGCACAGCAGCAGCAGCAGCAGCAGCAGCAGGAGGAGGACGGGAGCTGCAGGCCCCCCGCTGCTGGAGGAAGCCCACCTGCCCTCCGCGCACCCGGGGACGGGAGGCCCTGAGCCCGGGACCCGCCCCTGCCTCCTACAGGGACTGCGGGAGCTGCGTGTGCACAGGGGCTCCCCGTAACCTCACTGGCCCTGAGCCTGCCCCCCGGGTCTGCGAGGAGGCGGCTGGCGAGGAGGCGGCTGGAGTGTGGGCCTCGAGGTGTCCCCACCCCGGAGGCAGACCCAGACGCCCAACGGCACACACAGGAACGGTCCACGTCACGTCGAGTGACTTCGCCCGAGTCAGCATCCCCCGCGCAGGCCCGACGCACCTGAGCCCCACCCCCGCACGAGGACTGCGCTGCACATAACGCACACGGAGCTCCAGGCCGACGCAGCCCCACAGCCACAGACTGAAGCACCAGGATGGCGTGCGGTGAGCGCTGCGGAGGGGGGGCCCGGGCGCTGCCCTAGGAGCCGAGGGTGAACCGGAACCAGCCACGGGAGGAGAGGAGGAGAGAGCTCTCCGGGCTGAGGCAGGAGCAGGTGCAAAGGCCCTGGGGTAGCACTTAGAAGAGCCACAAACTGCAAACCGCCTGGGCGTGGGGGTGGGGGCTGGCAGCTGGAACAAGCCGAGGCTACGGAGACGGCTCCAGCCAGAGGGGAGGCCTCTCTGCAGGGCGTGGGGAGCGGCGACCACGCTGCCTTTAGACAGTAACTGGCTGCAGAGAGGCTCGCTGGTGCGGCCACTATGGAAAACAGTGTGGAGGTTCCTCAAAAAAACCCTAACAGCAGAATTACCATAGGACCCAGCGATTCCATTTCCGGGCATTTATCAAAAACACACACACATACTCTAGCCGGCTCGCTCAGTGGATAGAGCGTCGGCCTGTGGACTGAAGGGTCCCAGGTTCCATTCCCAGTCAGGGCACATGCCTGGGTTGTGGGCTTGATCCCCAGTAGGGGGCGTGCAGGAGGCAGCCGATCCATGATTCTCTCTCATCACTGATGTTTCTATCTCCCTCTCCCTTCCTCTCTGAAATCAATAAAAACATATAAAAATACAATAAAAGCTATTGAGCAAAACATGTTACTTGAAAAAACACATACACACACCACGAAAACCCACCATGAACTCGGAAGATACGTGCAGCCCTACATTCTCGCAGAATTGTTACTAACAGCCGAGACACGGAAGCAACCTCGGGGTCACCAACGGACGAGAGGATAAAGAAGGGGTGACAGTTACACCCCCACACGGGCTCTGCAGCCCTCGAGTGACCACGTGCACGGGGAGCTTGCCCGGTCCCAGCGCCACCTGCACCTCCACGGTGAGCCTTCTCCACAAGCGCCGCAGGAGGCCCCAAAAGTCGCAGCACCACTTGCTTTGCCATCACACACACGACCCCCGAGAGAAGGTTCAACGTCGCTTACCAGCCACGAAGCTCGGGAAGGATGCCGCCTTCTTTGTCTGTCGGGAAAGAGACAGGAACAGCTGTGAGCAGGGGGCCCATAACCCAGGCTCAGGGGAGGGAGCAGCACACCGAGAGGCTGCACCCCTGCCCGGCCCGAAGGCGCCAGCTCCAGGGAGCGAGCGGGTCTCGCTCAGGCACCGTGCTGGCGGGAGGGCGCGTGTCATCTACGCCCGAGGGAAGCCTTGCTCCCACCCTGTCCTCGGAAATGCATGACGGGGTGCGAGAGGCCGTGGGTGACACGGGGACCTCAGGTGAGCAGGTCACTGCTGGAAGGGAGCCCGGAGGCCACACGGCCGTTCTCTGACGAGCGGGCGAGAGAAGGACCAGGCGGCTGTGGGCGGGACGATGGGGCTGGCTGGCCGGTGCTCAGTGGTTAGAGTCGCCTGCCACCACAGGGTCTCGGGTTCGATCCCGTCAGGGGCGCGTGCCGGGTGGCGGTTCGGTCCCCGGGCCCGTCGGGTGAGTGCGGGAGGCGACCCATCGATGGTCTCACATCGATGTGTGTGTCTCTCCCCCCCCTTCCACTCCCTAAAAATTAATATACCTCAGGTGAGGATTCACAACCAGAAAGATAAAGGGGACGCACATCACCCGCCTGGCCATCGTCACCTCATCGTCAGACTCTCGCCCAAGCCCTGTCCCTCAGAGAAGGGGAGGAGCTTGCTCTGGGCCTCGTGGGCCTAACCCCACCCGCGGCCCTGCACGGGGCCTGCTGCTCGCATTGTGCATGGGCTGTTGTCAGAGCCGGGTTCTCGCCGGGGTCACTTCTCCCCCCGGGGCCATCGGGCGATGCCTGGGGAGGGTGGCTGCTGGCCCCGAGCGGGCAGAGACGGGACGCTTCCCAACACCCACAGGGCACAGGACAGCCCGACAGAACGATCTGCCCAGCGCCAGCGGTGCCGCTGCCGAATGGCCCGGGGGTAGAACATGCCAGAGCGGGCAGCGTGAGCGCGGTCAGACCTGGGAGCACCAGCGAGCCCCACATGCGTCGCCAACGCGGGAGCACACACGGCGTGAGCCCGAGCGCAGGGCCGGCCGCCTCGCCTCCTCCTGCGCGGGGACCCGCTCTGCGTGGCCGGCCCCCTCCCCGAAGGCTTGGCTGGGACGGGGACCCCGGAGAGGCGAGCGGCCTGCGGACGGGCCTCACCTCTGACACGTTGTTGTTATCCACGGGCCCGTTGAGGTCGGAGCGCTGCTGCCTCCGCGGCTCCACACCGTTGCACACCTGGGGACGGGAGAGAAAGGAAACCAGAACTGGGGATGCAATTTGGTAACGTTGTGCACACAGCAAGCGTATGTAGCACGTGCGCATGTAAACGGCAGGGGCATGTAGTGTGTGTACACATAAACGGCATGTGTATAAGCATGTGCATGTAGTGTGAACACAAACAGCACATGTATGTAATGTGTGTGCATATAAACGGCACATGCGTGCAGCATGTGTACACATAAACTGTGTAGTGTGTGTACACAAAACTGCATATGTATACAGCATGTGCACATATAAACCACATGCATATGCAGTATGTGCACAAACCCCATGTGTATGTAGCGTGTGTGCATATAAACGGCACCGCATGTAGCATGTGTGTTAGAGGCTGCACATGTATGTACTGTGTGCATAATGAACGGCACGTGTATGCAGTATTGTGCATACGTGTGCCCTGGGGGAGCTGCAGGGCCCCTCCTGCAAGGGGTGCCTGGTCCAGGACCATCCCACATGGGTCCCACTGGAGCCGGTTCCTTCCTGAGCTCGGAGGTAACTTCCCAGGGCCCTCTGCCTGCACTGCCCACCTGGCCCAGGTGCACCTGGCGAGGCCTCCCAGAGGGTAGGACAGGGCTCCCCCCACCTGGCCCAGGTGCACCCGGCGAGGCCCCCCAGAGGGTAGGGCAGGGCTCCCCCCACCTGGCCCAGGTGCACCTGGCGAGGCCTCCCAGAGGGTAGGACAGGGCTCCCCCGATGCTGGCCGTCCCCTTTAAGGAAAGCACATTCAGGACGTGCCCCAGACTCCCTCTGCGGTCCTGCACCCTGGCTAGGTCAGTCCACACAGGCCCTCTTGTTTCTAAGAGATCTACCTTCCCTGGGCTGAGTTCACGGACGGCTGCGGAGGGCCTTGCTGTCTCACTAGGAGCCAGATAGGCTCAAACACCTCGAAAATAAACCAACAGTCACACCAACTGCACCTGCTGGACAGTGACTGTCGGCATCCCCTCCAGGGTCACAGGTTAACGATGCACACAGTAACCTTCAAGGTGATGTAGCAGAGGTGGGGCTTGGACAGGGGGTGGGGACTCGTGAGGCGAGGAGGTGGGCCCTGAGGGATTGGGCCCCAGGAAGTGGCCGTGGAGGGCGCCGCGGAGCCTCCCACACGAGGACACAGCCAGGGCGGCCCTCGTGCACCAGGTCCTCACGGACCCGGGACCTGCCTGCACCGGGACCTGGACGTCCAGCCTCCAGAAGTGAACTAAACGCTGTGGCTTGTCAGCTGCCCCCTCTGCGTTGCAGCAGCCTGAACGGAACAAGAGCCCACCCTCCTGGGAGCGTCCGGCTCGGGCTGGCGTCTGACTGTCCCGGTGGAGGGAGCGCCAGGGATGTAGAGCGAGAATCTCCCAGGGGAGGGGCGACCCCGGGCCTGCCGCCGCCCCCTCTAGGGCAGTACAAGGTCGCAGGGCCATGTACGACTCTCCCCAAACGTCCGCCGCCTCCTGCCCGCCCTCCCTCCGAGTCCGCATTTTCTCCAACTGCCTTCCGACCGCTTGTCGCCATGACAACCACAGCTGCGACCGAAGAAGCAGGGCTGCTTGCAAAGAGGCAGCCGGGTGCCTGTGCTGCTTCTCAGGAGATGCCATCTGCTCTCCAGCTCCCACCTCCGGGGAGGGGGCTTGGCAGCCTGGAGCAGCGACCACAGTGGACACGGTGGGGCCAGGCTGCTGGCGTCTTGGATGAAGATGCCCTTTAAACCCTGCTGCTTCCCCAGACACAGCAGCCGGCACCTCTGCCAACCGTGCTGCGGCTCCGTGGCTGACACCATCCCCTGCACCAGGAGGTCAGGGTTGGATTCCCGGGTCAGGCAACAGGCCCTGGGGTTGCGGGCTC